AAAGATGAAAGATGAAATAGATGATAAGAGGCATTGAATTAAAGATGATATAGTCGTCTAGCTCCATGTAGATGACGGCCACAGACTATTCTAGACAGTCCACTGGAACGCTTGTAGGCTCGCAACATGTAGGTGTTTTTGAACTAAGTGCTCACCAGGTATACTCCATCCCCCTATGGTTGCCTTATTGACATATACTGCTAAGGAATCCCCTAAGCATTATTGTCTATCTCGAAGATGATCCGTAGGATAGGTCCCCTGAATTAGATGCTTTAGGGACATAAAGTGAGGATAATGGGAATGGGGTTGAATGTTTTGATGAAAATATATAATTAAAAGAATTTAATTATTGTGGGTTGAAAACGCTATATGTTCACCAGGCCCCCAAGCCTGACCCACTCGGTTTCTTATATTACAGGTAGTAGCATGAGAGTACATGTGTGACGTTATGATGAACGATTTATGGATGCTTATAGGCTAGTAGTTTAGATAAACTGGTGTAAGGCCTGTATTATTTCCGTTTATTCTTATGTATTGTATTAACGATGACATCCCAACGTTTTTAATATAAATAAAATACATATATTCGGAAATGCTTTGGTAATATCTTTATCATATTTTTGGGAACAAATTCCACAACATCATTCTTCAAAAAGGATACTTTGATTTTAAATTAGCATAAAAAATCGGTCTTTTATGTCCGTGAAATTGGGGATGTCACAAGTTAACTGGCCATTGATTGCATGAATTTGTATTCCTCGTAGTTTATTAACATTAAACTGCTCGAGCTAGAGATTGACCATGTCGTAGTATAGGTAATAAAATTAGTTTCTTAATTGTGTTAGAGAGCATTATTTGACAATAACAATTGCCAGTTTGTCCGAATTGACCATAGGACGACAAACCTAGATCTAGTCATTCGTAGTCCAAACATTCAATAAAACCAATTAAGTTTCCTTAGTCTACATGACCATTGTGATTAAGTGTCACAAATTGAGGCAAGCTAATTAGTTTGACCATGACAGTTAGTGATTGGTAATCAACTCATTAATCCATTGCACTACTAGTGAACCAAACATAAAAACTTGGTGGATTCGTATTCTAGTAGAAGTACTTCTTATTTATTGCTTCCATTTAGTTCTTTAATTTCATTAATTAATTGAGTGTTAAAACAAATTAGTTATTTTAAACAACAAAATCCTCATTTTTACTTTTCTGTTATTAATTTAATTAACTTTTGAATTATTTGATCTAAACCATCATGTTCCCTGAGTTCGACACTCTTTCTTACCTTAAACTATATTATTTCACGACTAAGTACACTACCTATCTGTGTTTAAGACTAGTTGAGATTCAACAGGACTTTATAAATAAAAAACTAGTGCACCAAAAAAAACAAATCGTGATTCTCATGCTCTTTATTTGATATCACGACGTGGCGTATCCTTTCCCACGTCGTGGCTAAAGTACAATGCATTATTTTGAAGATTTTCGCACTACACCTTTTCGAAGAAGCGGTCTTTGGTTCATTTTATCCGGCACATTCATAAGTAGCAGCTGGAGTCTAATTTCCAGTATAATTAATCGAGATGTTCAAGTTTTCCCACCACAATCAGATTCGATCTCACCACTAGTACCCTAGGGGAGTCTGTTCCCTTTTCTCCATTTTATTTTCTTTTTATTTGCTTTTAACTGGTTTATGCATACAATGAAGACATTGTATGAACTAAGTTTGCGGTAGGGGGTCGAAAAAGAATTTTCAAGCATAAAAGTTATAAATTAGATAAAATGCTAGAAATTTAAAAACTAATTATATAGAATTGCAAAAATAGTCTAATAATTCTAGTCATTTTTAATTTTTAATTTTTTTTTTTTGATATCATTGCATTTGGGCTAGTTTGCTAGTGTTATGTGGGATGATTCGATGCAAACTCTAAGATTTCACGAGACAAAAAAATGAAATTGTTTAGTTTGAGGGATATAATATGTTTTGCATCGTGTATAGAAATATATCCTAGAAAATTTATGTAGTCATTGCACTTTAGACTAATGTCTTTAACAAATTAGGGTTGAGGTTAAGTTCCCTTACTTAAGCATATGTTTTTCTTTTAGGTATTTAGTTGAGAGAAAAACAAGTGAATTATGAAAAAAAATAATAATAATAAATATGAAAAAAGTTGTGAACTTTCACAAAACAGGGACAGAATAGGTAGTTTTATATAATTTACCAGATTTATCTTTTAAGAGTTAATTAGCATCTTACCCCATTAAGTCATTATAAAAACGACCTTAAGCTGGAAATTAAGCACTTAACAGTAAGAACACTTTCTTGAGTAAAAAAGACAATTCCAACTTCAAACCATGACGCAAAGTACATTGTTTTAAAGGGAAAAACGAAAGTATGATGCTACATAAGAGAAGACACAATTTAAGTTTGGGTTTTCTCCACCATTAAACCACATATCAAGACAATTAGGTTTGTTTTGAGAGCCTTAGGGAGTGTTCAAAACTTGTCTTTTTATGCAAAAAATTACCCACAAGAACTCATAGATTGAAATGAAAGAAGACATGATCATCAACACCAAAGAAAAGGCAATATATCATCAAAATAGCAACTAATTTCAACCCAATTGAAGTATGAACATATGGTGAGGAAGAATCAAATACTTACCAAGGGGAATGATCGATTCACAACTTCAAATGGAACCCACCACCAAACATGTCGACCTTCCTCATCATAACCTTGAACTTGATTTATACCCCTCCCCTCATGTTCGATTCTTTTTTCTTTCTTAGGCCTGATCGACGAAAACACAAGAGCAACAACAACATCGACAAAAGGACCAATTGAAGGCCTAATCTCACGTATAGGCTTGAAAAGAAAAAAATGAACGAAGCCCTTAAGCTCCTAAAACACGACGACTTGCATTGTAAGGGAGTTTCAATTCGATTTTGCAAAATAACTCCCTATGGTTTCTTGATTTAAATCCTAACAACCATAACCCTAATAACTTGACATTTAAAGTTTATTTTAATGACATTCCAATCCCTCCTTTATATTTATACCCTAATCTTCCACAAACCATTTAATTAAATTATACATCTTTTTTTTTAATTATTAATTATTTTAGATATTAAATAGCACTAGTTTTTATTTAATTTATTATATTATACACTCTTAGAATCAAATGTCTTTACAATACTTAATAATCTTGCCATGGAACACTAACATCGTTAAATGAAGGATTTCATAGGTGGCCGAAAGTGGTTCACATGCGGGTCGTTACAACAAGTAGCACCTGATGGTTGGAGGTGTTTCATATGTGGCAGGAAGTAGTTCACATGTGGCAGTTGGTGGCTAGAGGTGGTTCACGTTGTTAAAATCGGAGATGGTAGGAGGCGGTTGATGTTGGTGCTGGTGGTGGTCTTCGTCATCGGACAACGCAGGTGGCAGGTCGCAGCATGCCGATGAGGGTGGAAAAGAAATCACCAGCGGGAAGTGGGGGTGGAGGTTGGTGGCCTCAGTGGTTGATATGGGTAACAATCGAACACCAATCGCCTTCAAATGCTTGAGTATCGTTGGAAAATCGAAAGGGAAGAAAAAACGGAGTATATGAGTTCTGGGACGGAGACTAGTTGAATGGGGTTTAGCTTTAGTGGCGCTAGTATTAGTAGCTATGAATAAATGAGATTGGAGGGAAATATTTGCGGTTCTTTATTTTCGGAGTATTAGCGGTGTCGACGTCACTACTATTCGGTCGTCGCATTGATTATGTACAAAAACAAACCCCGCTCGTTGGATCTACGCATTGAATTAATGGCCACGATTGATGTCACACAGATCATTGACATACGCATTAACAACGACGCAATTAGTGATGACTCGAGCTTTAACGACTACGTCGGGCGTGTCTGTTTTGATGTCGCTGCTAAAGCTAGCGTCACCTGTGAAGGTGGCATTGCTAATGGTAAGATTTCTTGTTGTGTGAACCGTTCAAGTATAAAATTAACCGAAAAATAGTCTAAATGAAAGCAAAGATTAAGAACAAAACATGCATATGGACCATATATATGGTAGGGCCGATTCATGTAATGTCTATTTATTTTGCTATACTTATCGCTAATAGTATCTTTTATTTCTTTTAATTAAAAAAAAAACGTTAGGTTCATGACGTCCCGTGTACATATCTTTGTTTCATGTTAATTAATATCACGTATATAATTCAATCCACATCTTCACTTGAAAGGTCATTTAGAACATAAATAAAATACTATTTTTGCTCGTTGGAGTTTAAAATCTTATATATTAATTAATTGGTGTTAATTGGTACGTTCACAGAATAAGGGAAATATACTGTGTTTTAAATGTTATTTCTTCTCAAATGTTATTTCTTCTCATTCGACATGCATAATATCATATGAAAACATAGAAATGAACTTGTTTTCATATATATTGTATTTCAAGCACTTAACAAGCTGACACTACAAGAATGGAGAGTATTACTAAAAGTTTGGGATGTCGCCGCTAATACTTTTAACAACAACGTATTGTCGATAAAAGGTCGTCGTTAATGCTTCGTCGCTAATACTCAAAGTGTCGTTGCTAATACTATTTGTCGACGCTAATAGTGACTTGTCGCCGCTACTACTAGAGCGTCGCCGCTAAAGGCTTATCACCGCTAATAAGCAGGTGTCGCCACTAAAGGCGTCGGTGGTAATTATATTTTCCTTTTTTTGTATTTAACATTAAAATTAGAAAAAACTGTATAAAACGTATAAAAAAATATAAAAACTATTATGATATTAATCTAAACCAACATCGGTCTAATCGGTCTAAATCCCCACTTACCATCGTTTTTTATAGCCCTTACCTTCTCCACTTCTTGAAAATAACTCCTAAATCTTCATTAGTTTGCTTCTCTTCTAGTTAAACATCTCGCCACCTCTCGGACCACCCTTATACCACCTGTTATCTCCACCAAGAACCACCGACAACACTGTCAATAGAGCCTCTGCCTTTGCGGGGAACCATTCACGCACCACCATCTTCCACATATTTCCGATCCGTCACACTTATTCCACCTTAAACAAACCAACCGTAAATCAGTAAAAGAAAAAAAAAAGGAAGAAGAACTGAAATTAGTTTATATGCGTACGTGTCATCTCCACCACTAACCACCGTGAACACCGGCCACAAATGTCGTGCCTTTGCCGAGAACCATCCAATCACCACCATCTCCTACATATTTCCAATCAACCAACTTATTACACCTTAAACAACCCTACGTTAATCAGAAAAAGAAAATAAGCAAGAAGAAAAGATATATGCTTCTTGTGTTGTCTGTAAAATGGGGAATAGCACACGCAGGGCACACGTCTTTTTAGAGGGAAATGAAAATATAAGTGGAAAACGAAAATATAGGAGGGAAATGAAAATTTTGAGGGATCAACCAACTTGTAGCTTGCTTGAACATGGAAATCCGAACGAAATTTGAAGGGATCTCGCAAAAAATGAAAATTTTGAATGAAATTTTTACAGGAAAGATTAATGGTACAGTTTAGTGTTTTTTAGTCGTTGAATTAGGCACTAAATCAATGGCTGATTTCATCTCAACGTTTGACACGGGTCGATGTTAAAGAGCCTTTAGGGGCGACAGTTACACACCTTTAACGGGGACAAATAACGCGAAAGTTGTTTGTCGCCGCTAATGGCTATTTCTTGTAGTGTCATCATTTCACAACCAATTTAGGTGCCAATTTTTAAAACATCACAAAAACATGTACTTGTACAAGAACAACTAACAACAAACTTATTCTTTTTTCTTTTCCAGGATGCATATGATGAAAAAACAGTTGTTTCCGCAAATATACATAACTGACGTCGCATACAAATTAAAGAGTTTCACTTATAAAACTCTTGTACATTAGAAAAATCTTGATGCATCGATGTACTAAGAAGGATAGGAAGAAACCAACTCATAGAGTATACATGAGGAATTCTTCCAAGCCCTAGCATGCATCTTCAGAATCTCGCTAGCTTTCTCGCTGGTCTTGCTCCCACACTCTACTTGTAACACGAAACATAGTTTCCCCACCACCCCCAACTGCAACATCTCGTGTACTACACTCGTATTTCCAGAGAACTTTGCCACTGCATGCAGTATCCTCACAGCCCTTGAACTTACCACCTGTGAAACACGAAAGATTTTCTTGGAAACCACCGCTAAACCTGCACCATGTTTCAAGAGCTCAGCCCGGCCATCAGCACACTGGCAAAGATGGTCTAACAGTGTCAACACCATCTCCGGGACCCTCTTTTGATCAGTACAATCGAGGAGGGTATCGATTAATACAGAAACTACTCCTGCCTCCACCGCTTTTATCCTATTCCGACCCCATGGACAAACGCCGATGAGTAATTTCAGTGCAGCTTTTGTTGCCTTTTGTGAGATTTGATTGGCCAATATTTGTGTAAGCACCTTCAAGAGATGAGGCTTTATGGATATCATTTGAATGGGTTCAGCCACCTCGAACATCGACTTCAGCAGTAAGACGGCATAGGTGCGAGACTCAGAACTGGTGGCGCGTTCCATCACCCTAGTCAATGCATCAACAAACTCATCGGTCCTTCCAAACAAGGATTTAAGGCCCGTTTTTGACAAATGAAGGTGGTAAAGGATGCTCACCGTTTCGTCAACATCTGTCGGCAAATTATCAAATCCGTCGATCTGAGAAACTTCAATCGCCGGTGATGGTGACGACAGATAAGAACTAGGGTTACATATGATGTACGATAGGTATTCAGCTGCTCCAACTGCTTCCGTTGACCGTTTATTCATATCACTTTCCAAAACAATCGTCTTTAGCCTCTTCAAACACTTCATCTGCATATTAGGAGACTTAGAATCTTGTAGAAGCTTCAAGATTTGTGATTTGGAGATTGGGATCCGTGGAGTGGGGAATCTTTCGATACCATATGGCCCATTAATTGTGCACCAAGATTGGATCAATCGACGAAGGGTGTGGTTTGGGGTGAGCTCTAAATCGGTGAGAACTTGTTTGGTGATGGGACACGTGCTGTTCTTTCGAGTATACAACCATTTCTCTATGGCTTCACGATCGTATGTTATTCCTGTGGAGAGAGTTACAGGGTCTTTCATGATATCTAGAGAAATCGGACATACAAAAAAGGAAGGAACTTCTATCTCCTTTTGAGAATCACCCATAGCAGATACTTCAACAAAATAGTTAAAAGCAATATCAAGATTGATACTTAGGGTTCATTTGTAAATCTTGAATAAATGGATGAACGAAGCTAGAGATCTTTTGTTGAAGTGGTTGTAATTAATGTTAAATAGCATTGAACGATTTTGAATTGGGGTGGATGGGGTGGAGTTAACAAAAAAAAAAAAAGTCAAAACTCCATTAACGTAAAAATTATTTTGGTCACAGAGAGAGAGAAGTTTTGACCTTTTCAAAGGGCATTTGAAAGGCTCAGCACAGACATCTGTCAAAATCAAAGTCTACAAGGCATGTGTTTTGTAGTAAACAGTATGGGAAATGTGTCTTGGAAGTGTGTAGCTGGATAAATTTACTCCTCAATGTCGGCTGTATAAGATTCAATTTTATTCCAGAAAACATACACTTTTAATGAACGTATATTTTATTAATAATTTATGTAAAAGGTTATTTTTTTTTTCCGAAACGACGGATTTTATCATTTGTAAAAGCTTAAATGACAAATTTCGTCCATCTCTCATACTAAGACTAAGGATACAAACCTTCTATCTCTTGAACAAATATAAAGAGGAATATATCTTCCTTGCTAAAATCCTTTATATATATATATATATATATATATATATATATATATATATATATATATATATATATATATGGTGAGTTCAATAGAGAACCATAATTAACCAAGTAACCAATCTTTTTTCAACTTTTAGAACTTATTTTTTATCAAAAAAAAAAAAAAAAAACTAAAAATATAGAAATTCATAACTTTTTATCATTTTTCCAATAATATCAAATTCAAATTTTTTTTTTACGTCAAATTCACAATGTGACTCTTTGAAAATACAAAATGTGAATCCGGATTCACATGCTGAATCCGAAAAATATTTTTCACATTTACAATGCTAATATATGAATTTAGATATTTTTAGATTTTTTTTTCGATAAAGAATAAGCTTTAGAAATTGAAAAAAAGATTTGCTTCCTTGAAGAACCAATAATTATGGTTCTCTATTGAACTTTTATATATATATATATATATATATATATATATATATATATATATATATATATATATATATATATATATTATTCAAATGAGACCCACAAAAGATTAACAACTATAAGAAACCTATTTTATAAGTAATATGTACACAGTATTTATTAAAAATGTTAAAATCTTGATTTTTTTTTGTCTTTTTGATACGAAAATGATAAAATTGTAATTTTTATAATATAATATTTTCATTCATATCGATTCATATTTTAATACAAAAATTATTTAAAATAAAAAAATATAATACAGTTCATTTATAGTTTAGTTTACAAAATTTACAATTTAATACAATTATAATATCAATAATTCACTAATTTAAGGGAGTCAAACAAACCGAAACTCTAGCAACACCACCAACTACCACACGTCAACACCAACGATTTATGTTAACGTCACAACCATCATTCATTTCAAACCAAATATGTATAAAATCATGCATTGTTAGCTTAATAAATACTATATTCACAGTTTAATAAACATATTAATTCACTAATTTAAAGTTTAATGCAACAATTATAAAAACTTATATATTTTTACATATTACTCCACAAAAAATTCTCACAAGAAAATTAATACAAATATTCATATTTGATCATAAAATTCATAAAAAAGTCACAACTTAATACAATCAATTCACAGCTTAATACAGTCATTTCACAATTTAATACATAAAATTAACCGTTTAATATATTAAATTCATAATTTAATACATAAAAACTATACATTCTCATTCATATTCTTTACTTAAAGCTTACATTTATACCTTCATATATGTGAGCTACTGGGCTAGTGATTCTTTCAAAATTTAATTTACATAATATTCACAATATAAATTTTACATATTTTATTCAAAATTAGAGAAAGTAAAATCTATGCATAATGCTTCTTTCATCTCATATTTTAGAAGCAAACATAAAATCCGTAAAAAAAAATAACAACCTAATATACTTAATTCACAGCTTAATATATTTAATTCACAATTTAATACACAAATTCACAGTTTAATAAAATATATTTACATGTTAAAAATTACATCGATGATGTTTGGAGCCGTGAAGGTTGTATTAGATACCAGTTCACACATTCATCACAATTCACAACTTAAAAAAGCTAAATTCATATTACTTGAGAAAACACTAATATAATAAAAACACGTTTAAATTCACATTAAAACTTATAAAAATTCATACATATACTGCTTAAAACTAATAAAAAATTATTTAATCACAACTAAAACTTATAAAAAAATCATGCATTCACAACTTAATACTTATAAAAAATCATGCATTCACAACTTAATACTTATAAAAAAAAAATCATGCATTCGCAGCTTAAAACTTTTTCTAATTGAAACAGTTAAATGTGTATAAAATCTATGCATTAATAACTTAGTACTTATAAAAAAGACACTTATCAAAACTTAAAAACTAGTCTAGACATTCATTTTAGAGCTTAATAAACTAGTTCAGAAACTTATTCATATTATTCAAAGTTTAAAAACATACCTTGTTTTCAGTGAGGCATTTCATCAAAAACCTTCAATGCATCTTATGTCTAGATTTGAGATTGTTCCCTTGCTTCTTCCCTTGCTTTAGATCCATGAGCACCAATGGTAGGCAGCAACAACGGTAGTGCGACGTCGATTGTGGTAGAGGTGGAATCACAACAACGGTGGTAGCATCAGATTTGGATGTCAGATCTGTTGGTGGTGATTTCCGTCAGATCTATTGTTCCGGCGAAACAAATCAAAGAAGTTTTCTTGTATTCCATCAGATCTGGAGACGAACTAGATCTGGACTTCTGTAACATCCCGATGTTCAGGTACTTCTAAGTTCATCCCTATAATTCTATCTCATGTCATTTTCGTCCTTAAGTCCAACAAGTTATGCTTTGAGCCATAGTGGCAATTTCGTAATTATGTCAGGAGGAATACGTCATGCGTACATGTGTTTACGTTAAGCGTACACTTATGTACACGGGGCGTACTAGCGTCAAGAGGAAACCCTAATTTTTAGGTTTGGGTGGTATTTATGAAACATTATGTATCATTTATCCTCACTTGTTCAGCCTCCACATCCTTTCAGACGTTTTTGCAAACCATGGCCCTCTTAGTGTGTGTTTTGAGCTCAAGAGTGTGTTGTTGGTGTGTTGAAGGAGGAAGAAGTTGCATTAAGGAGCCTTGAAGTGGAAGCAAGCTTGTGGATTTGGGATCTTTGCCTTCTTGAGAAGCTCCAGAAGGTATAAAGTCTATACCTTGATGTCTTGGTTGTTAGATCCAATTTTTGGGTGTTTTATGTTATTTATCTTGTCCCAAAGGTCCTATCTTGTGCAAAGTTTGTTCTCTCATTTTGAGTTGTCCTTTCAGACCCTAGGAAGGGTCCTTACCCTTAAAAATGAAGTCATGTTGGTTAGTTTTGCTCCATTCATCTTGTATGAGGTCTTAATGGATTAAGACCTTGTGTTAAGCTCTTATTAGGCGTGTAAAGTCATAAAGTTGGAAACTTTATGACTCTGGGTGTGTTTTGGTCATGGATATGAAATTTGGGCTTAAGTGCTTAAGCCATGCAGCACTAAATGGAGTTTGGAGGCTGCGAGGGTACGCCTCGCGTACATGGGAGTACGCCCCGCGTACTCGCATGGGTCAGCCTTGTTGAGTTGACTCATTTGTGTTGACTCGGCTGGGTTGACCTAGTGGGTTGACCAGTTGAATTTGATTTTGACTTTGACCAAGTTTGACCTTGAGGGTATTTTGGGATTTTGATGGAATTGGTCACTTGGTGGAAATAGGTATCGGTTAGAGAGCTGAGATTCGGAGTCGGACCTCATCAGTTCTGTTCAGTTTGCGAGGTGAGTTTTCCTCACTGTACTTTTGGGTCGAAGGCACCAAGGCCGGCTCCTTTGGATTGTTATCCTGGTTTTTCACATGCTTGTATGTTGTAGTGATCTGTTAGATCTGTATCCTGGTATATAGGATGATGCTATGCTTAGTGATCTGTTAGATCTGTATGACTCTCTGTATATGCTAGCTAGGGTTTGATATGGTATGTGTTGCTATGTAATGGTATGTTGGGGTTGAGGTAGTCTTGCTATGTGTTCAAGGACAAGAGACCCAGGGCGTCCTAGATAGACTGCAGGCCAGTAGGGCATACCAGTCAGGCCGAAGGTCTGGAGAACATTCCAGATAGGCTGAAGGCCCGGTGAGGCGTACCAGTCATGCTGAAGGTTTTGTGAGCGTACCAAATAGACTGTAAGCCGGTGGGGGCGTTCCAGTCATACTGATGGCTCTGTATGCATGTTGTTTGTTGTTATTATTATTGATTATGTGTTGTGTTAGTACTTTGGGGGAAATTCACTAAGCCACCGGCTTAAAGTTTTGGGTTATGTTTTAGGTACCTCAGATGATCTTGCGAAGGCAAAGACATATCATGCAGCTCCTTGTGTTTTAATTTATGATTTTGGGAAAACTCTGATATTAAACATGTTTTGAAAACTAAATTGTATACAATGATGATTTGTCGATTGGCTTTCAAAGTTTAAAATTTTCATGAATATTATGGTTGTTATAGCTTCCGAGTTGAGTGTGACATTTTTTGGTGTTCTGACAAAGCACAGTAGCCGATGTTAGGTGGTGGTTAGTGGTGATAAGGTCGACTATCAGATCTGATGAAATCGCACCAGATCTGATATGTTTTGCGTTTTAGAGAGGGAAAGTGAAGCTGAAACAAATTCTTGACTCCAGATCTGAGACCCGGTGACGATCGATGGTGGATATGGAGGTATTTTCATCAAATCTCATCAGATTTATGTTTCTGTTGCTGGTCGGGTCACAACACAGAAGAAGAATTCATGATGATAGTGATGACGGAAGGTGGTGGTTATCACCGCTTGTCGGAGCACATAATCTAGAGGAGAAATTTGAACATATGAAGTCGAAAATAGCAGATTTGAAGACAAAATCATAGATCTGAAGAGGAAAATCGTAGATCTGAAGCTGAAATTGTAGATCTGAAAAGGAAAATCGTAGATCTGAAGTAGAAATTATAGATCTGAAGAGGAAAATCGTAGATCTGATGCTAAAATTATAGATCTGGAGCCAACTGGAGCTTGTGGATCTTGTGGCAGTGGTTCCTCGGTGGTAAGTGGCGGCGGTGGTTCGCCGGTGGTAGGAGGCGGCGGCAGTCAAAGGTGGTGAGGAAGAATGAACATATGGTGAGGAAGAATCAAATACTTACCAAGGGGAATGATCGATTCACAACTTCAAATGGAACCCACCACCAAACATGTCGACCTTCCTCATCATAACCTTGAACTTGATTTATACCCCTCCCCTCATGTTCGATTCTTTTTTCTTTCTTAGGCCTGATCGACGAAAACACAAGAGCAACAACAACATCGACAAAAGGACCAATTGAAGGCCTAATCTCACGTATAGGCTTGAAAAGAAAAAAATGAACGAAGCCCTTAAGCTCCTAAAACACGACGACTTGCATTGTAAGGGAGTTTCAATTCGATTTTGCAAAATAACTCCCTATGGTTTCTTGATTTAAATCCTAACAACCATAACCCTAATAACTTGACATTTAAAGTTTATTTTAATGACATTCCAATCCCTCCTTTATATTTATACCCTAATCTTCCACAAACCATTTAATTAAATTATACATCTTTTTTTTTAATTATTAATTATTTTAGATATTAAATAGCACTAGTTTTTATTTAATTTATTATATTATACACTCTTAGAATCAAATGTCTTTACAATACTTAATAATCTTGCCATGGAACACTAACATCGTTAAATGAAGGATTTCATTGGTGGCCGAAAGTGATTCCACCTTAAACAAACCAACCGTAAATCAGTAAAAGAAAAAAAAAAGGAAGAAGAACTGAAATTAGTTTATATGCGTACGTGTCATCTCCACCACTAACCACCGTGAACACCGGCCACAAATGTCGTGCCTTTGCCGAGAACCATCCAATCACCACCATCTCCTACATATTTCCGATCAACCAACTTATTACACCTTAAACAACCCTACGTTAATCAGAAAAAGAAAATAAGCAAGAAGAAAAGATATATGCTTCTTGTGTTGTCTGTAAAATGGGGAATAGCACACGCAGGGCACACATCTTTTTAGAGGGAAATGAAAATATAAGTGGAAAACGAAAATATATGAGGGAAATGAAAATTTTGAGGGATCAACCAACTTGTAGCTTGCTTGACCATGGAAATCCGAACGAAATTTGAAGGGATCTCGCAAAAAATGAAAATTTTGAATGAAAATTTTACAGGAAAGATTAATGGTACAGTTCAGTGTTTTTTAATGTGAATTGTTTTTTGTGCGGTTCAATGTTTTTTAATGCAAATTATTTTTTGAGTCGATTGTAATTGTTTTTTGGTGCAGTTTCCACGTTATTTTTTGGTGTGGTTTTGGGAAACCGCATCAGAAAATTATTTAATAGTGCGATTTTGGAAAGCCGCACTAACAAAACTATTTTTTGAGGCGGTTGTAATTGTTTTTTTGGTGCGGTTTCCACATTATTTTTTGGTGCGGTTTTGAGAAACCACATCAAAAAATGCTTTAATGGTGCGATTTTGGGAAACCACACTAATAAAGTTATTTTATGGTACGGTTCTCTTATTTTTTTTTATGTTGTAGATATTTAATAAAGCGGTTTTTAGAGAAGACAGCATTAAAAAATAAAAATCACTCGCACTATTAAATGACTTGTGTACTACTGCGGCGACGATACCCTTTAGCGACGACGAACGGAATAATAGCGGCGACACCTTTGCAGGGAATCTTTGGCGGTATTTTTTTTCGAGTATTAGCGGTGACACTGTCGCCGGTAAAAGTGTCGCCGCCAAAGGTTGCGTACGATGTGAATTTCTAGTCGTTGAATTAGGCACTAAATCAATGGCTGATTTCATCTCAACGTTTGACACGGGTCGATGTTAAAGAGCCTTTAGGGGCGACAGTTACACACACCTTTAACGGGGACAAATAACGCGAAAGTTGTTTGTCGCCGCTAATGGCTATTTCTTGTAGTGTCATCATTTCACAACCAATTTAGGTGCCAATTTTTAAAACATCACAAAAACATGTACTTGTACAAGAACAACTAACAACAAACTTATTATTTTTTCTTTTCCAGGATGCATATGATGAAAAAACAGTTGTTTCCGCAAATATACATAACTGACGTCGCATACAAATTAAAGAGTTTCACTTATAAAACTCTTGTACATTAGAAAAATCTTGATGCATCGATGTACTAAGAAGGATAGGAAGAAACCAACTCATAGAGTATACATGAGGAATTCTTCCAAGCCCTAGCATGCATCTTCAGAATCTCGCTAGCTTTCTCGCTGGTCTTGCTCCCACACTCTACTTGTAACACGAAACATAGTTTCCCCACCACCCCCAACTGCAACATCTCGTGTACTACACTCGTATTTCCAGAGAACTTTGCCACTGCATGCAGTATCCTCACAGCCCTTGAACTTGCCACCTGTGAAACACGAAAGATTTTCTTGGAAACCACCGCTAAACCTGCACCATGTTTCAAGAGCTCAGCCCGGCCATCAGCACACTGGCAAAGATGGTCTAACAGTGTCAACACCATCTCCGGGACCCTCTTTTGATCAGTACAATCGAGGAGGGTATCGATTAATACAGAAACTACTCCTGCCTCCACCGCTTTTATCCTATTCCGACCCCATGGACAAACGCCGATGAGTAATTTCAGTGCAGCTTTTGTTGCCTTTTGTGAGATTTGATTGGCCAATATTTGTGTAAGCACCTTCAAGAGATGAGGCTTTATGGATATCATTTGAATGGGTTCAGCCACCTCGAACATCGACTTCAGCAGTAAGACGGCATAGGTGCGAGACTCAGAACTGGTGGCGCGTTCCATCACCCTAGTCAATGCATCAACAAACTCATCGGTCCTTCCAAACAAGGATTTAAGGCCCGTTTTTGACAAATGAAGGTGGTAAAGGATGCTCACCGTTTCGTCAACATCTGTCGGCAAATTATCAAATCCGTCGATCTGAGAAACTTCAATCGCCGGTGATGGTGACGACAGATAAGAACTAGGGTTACATATGATGTACGATAGGTATTCAGCTGCTCCAACTGCTTCCGTTGACCGTTTATTCATATCACTTTCCAAAACAATCGTCTTTAGCCTCTTCAAACACTTCATCTGCATATTAGGAGACTTAGAATCTTGTAGAAGCTTCAAGATTTGTGATTTGGAGATTGGGATCCGTGGAGTGGGGAATCTTTCGATACCATATGGCCCATTAATTGTGCACCAAGATTGGATCAATCGACGAAGGGTGTGGTTTGGGGTGAGCTCTAAATCGGTGAGAACTTGTTTGGTGATGGGACACGTGCTGTTCTTTCGAGTATACAACCATTTCTCTATGGCTTCACGATCGTATGTTATTCCTGTGGAGAGAGTTACAGGGTCTTTCATGATATCTAGAGAAATCGGACATACAAAAAAGGAAGGAACTTCTATCTCCTTTTGAGAATCACCCATAGCAGATACTTCAACAAAATAGTTAAAAGCAATATCAAGATTGATACTTAGGGTTCATTTGTAAATCTTGAATAAATGGATGAACGAAGCTAGAGATCTTTTGTTGAAGTGGTTGTAATTAATGTTAAATAGCATTGAACGATTTTGAATTGGGGTGGATGGGGTGGAGTTAACAAAAAAAAAAAAAGTCAAAACTCCATTAACGTAAAAATTATTTTGGTCACAGAGAGAGAGAAGTTTTGACCTTTTCAAAGGGCATTTGAAAGGCTCAGCACAGACATCTGTCAAAATCAAAGTCTACAAGGCATGTGTTTTGTAGTAAACAGTATGGGAAATGTGTCTTGGAAGTGTGTAGCTGGATAAATTTACTCCTCAATGTCGGCTGTATAAGATTCAATTTTATTCCAGAAAACATACACTTTTAATGAACGTATATTTTTATTAATAATTTATGTAAAAGGTTATTTTTTTTTTCCGAAACGACGGATTTTATCATTTGTAAAAGCTTAAATGACAAATTTCGTCCATCTCTCATACTAAGACTAAGGATACAAACCTTCTATCTCTTGAACAAATATAAAGAGGAATATATCTTCCTTGCTAAAATCCTTATATAGATATATATATATATATATATATATATATATATATATATATATAGATATATATATATATATATATATATATATATATATATAGGTGAGTTCAATAGAGAACCATAATTAACCAAGTAACCAATCTTTTTTTCAACTTTTAGAACTTATTTTTTATCAAAAAAAAAAAAAAAAAAACTAAAAATATAGAAATTCATAACTTTTTATCATTTTTCCAATAATATCAAATTCAAATTTTTTTTTTTTACGTCAAATTCACAATGTGACTCTTTGAAAATACACAATGTGAATCCGGATTCACATGCTGAATCCGAAAAATATTTTTCACATTTACAATGCTAATATATGAATTTAGATATTTTTAGATTTTTTTTTTCGATAAAGAATAAGCTTTAGAAATTGAAAAAAAGATTTGCTTCCTTGAAGAACCAATAATTATGGTTCTCTATTGAACTTTTATATATATATATATATATATATATATATATATATATATATATATATATATATATATATATATATATATATTATTCAAATGAGACCCACAAAAGATTAACAACTATAAGAAACCTATTTTATAAGTAATATGTACACAGTATTTATTAAAAATGTTAAAATCTTGATTTTTTTTTGTCTTTTTGATACGAAAATGATAAAATTGTAATTTTTATAATATAATATTTTCATTCATATCGATTCATATTTTAATACAAAAATTATTTAAAATAAAAAAATATAATACAGTTCATTTATAGTTTAGTTTACAAAATTTACAATTTAATACAATTATAATATCAATAATTCACTAATTTAAAGGAGTCAAACAAACCGAAACTCTAGCAACACCACCAACTACCACACGTCAACACCAACGATCTATGTTAACGTCACAACCATCATTCATTTCAAACCAAATATGTATATAAAATCATGCATTGTTAGCTTAATTAAATACTATATTCACAGTTTAATAAACATATTAATTCACTAATTTAAAGTTTAATGCAACAATTATAAAAACTTATATATTTTTACATATTACTCCACAAAAAATTCTCACAAGAAAATTAATACAAATATTCATATTTGATCATAAAATTCATAAAAAGTCACAACTTAATACAATCAATTCACAGCTTAATACAGTCATTTCACAATTTAATACATAAAATTAACAGTTTAATATATTAAATTCATAATTTAATACATAAAAACTATACATTCTCATTCATATTCTTTACTTAAAGCTTACATTTATACCTTCATATATGTGAGCTACTGGGCTAGTGATTCTTTCAAAATTTAATTTACATAATATTCACAATATAAATTTTACATATTTTATTCAAAATTAGAGAAAGTAAAATCTATGCATAATGCTTCTTTCATCTCATATTTTAGAAGCAAACATAAAATCCATAAAAAAAAATAACAACCTAATATACTTAATTCACAGCTTAATATATTTAATTCACAATTTAATACACAAATTCACAGTTTAATAAAATATATTTACATGTTAAAAATTACATCGATGATGTTTGGAGCCGTGAAGGTTGTATTAGATACCAGTTCACACTTTCATCACAATTCACAACTTAAAAAAGCTAAATTCATATTACTTGAGAAAACACTAATATAATAAAAACACGTTTAAATTCACATTAAAACTTATAAAAGTTCATACATATACTGCTTAAAACTAATAAAAAAATCATTTAATCACAACTAAAACTTATAAAAAAATCATGCATTCACAACTTAATACTTATAAAAAATCATGCATTCACAACTTAATACTTATAAAAAAAAATCATGCATTCGCAGCTTAAAACTTTTTCTAATTGAAACAGTTAAATGTGTATAAAATCTATGCATTAATAACTTAGTACTTATAAAAAAGACACTTATCAAAACTTAAAAACTAGTCTAGACATTCATTCAGAGCTTAATAAACTAGTTCAGAAACTTATTCATATTATTCAAAGTTTAAAAACATACCTTGTTTTCAGTGAGGCATTTCATCAAAAACCTTCAATGCATCTTATGTCTAGATTTGAGATTGTTCCCTTGCTTCTTCCCTTGCTTTAGATCCATGAGCACCAATGGTAGGCAGCAACAACAGTAGTGCGACGTCGATTGTGGTAGAGGTGGAATCACAACAACGGTGGTAGCATCAGATTTGGATGTCAGATCTGTTGGTGGTGATTTCCGTCAGATCTATTGTTCCGGCGAAACAAATCAAAGAAGTTTTCTTGTATTCCATCAGATCTGGAGACGAACTAGATCTGGACTTCTGTAACATCCCGATGTTCAGGTACTTCTAAGTTCATCCCTATAATTCTATCTCATGTCATTTTCGTCCCTAAGTCCAAGAAGTTATGCTTTGAGCCATAGTGGCAATTTCGTAATTATGTCAGGAGGAATACGCCATGCGTACATGTGTTTACGTTAAGCGTACACTTATGTACACGGGGCGTACTAGCGTCAAGAGGAAACCCTAATTTTTAGGTTTTGGGTGGTATTTAAGAAACATTATGTATCATTTATCCTCACTTGTTCAGCCTCCACATCCTTTCAGACGTTTTTGCAAACCATGGCCCTCTTAGTGTGTGTTTTGAGCTCAAGAGTGTGTTGTTGGTGTGTTGAAGGAGGAAGAAGTTGCATTAAGGAGCCTTGAAGTGGAAGCAAGCTTGTGGATTTGGGATCTTTGCCTTCTTGAGAAGCTCCAGAAGGTATAAAGTCTATACCTTGATGTCTTGGTTGTTAGATCCAATTTTTGGGTGTTTTATGTTATTTATCTTGTCCCAAAGGTTCTATCTTGTGCAAAGTTTGTTCTCTCATTTTGAGTTGTCCTTTCAGACCCTAGGAAGGGTCCTTACCCTTAAAAATGAAGTCATGTTGGTTAGTTTTGCTCCATTCATCTTGTATGAGGTCTTAATGGATTAAGACCTTGTGTTAAGCTCTTATTAGGCGTGTAAAGTCATAAAGTTGGAAACTTTATGACTCTGGGTGTGTTTTGGTCATGGATATGAAATTTGGGCTTAAGTGCTTAAGCCATGCAGCACTAAATGGAGTTTGGAGGCTGCGAGGGTACGCCTCGCGTACATGGGAGTACGCCCCGCGTACTCGCATGGGTCAGCCTTGTTGAGTTGACTCATTTGTGTTGACTCGGCTGGGTTGACCTAGTGGGTTGACCAGTTGAATTTGATTTTGACTTTGACCAAGTTTGACCTTGAGGGTATTTTGGGATTTTGATGGAATTGGTCACTTGGTGGAAATAGGTATCGGTTAGAGAGCTGAGATTCGGAGTCGGACCTCATCAGTTCTGTTCAGTTTGCGAGGTGAGTTTTCCTCACTGTACTTTTGGGTCGAAGGCACCAAGGCCGGCTCCTTTGGATTGTTATCCTGGTTTATCGCATGCTTGTATGTTGTAGTGATCTGTTAGATCTGTATCCCGGTATATAGGATGATGCTATGCTTAGTGATCTGTTAGATCTGTATGACTCTCTGTATATGCTAGCTAGGGTTTGATATGGTATGTGTTGCTATGTAATGGTATGTTGGGTTGAGGTAGTCTTGCTATGTGTTCAAGGACAAGAGACCCAGGGCGTCCTAGATAGACTGCAGGCCAGTAGGGCATACCAGTCAGGCCGAAGGTCTGGAGAACATTCCAGATAGGCTGAAGGCCCGGTGAGGCGTACCAGTCATGCTGAAGGTTTTGCGAGCGTACCAAATAGACTGTAGGCCGGTGGGGCGTTCTAGTCATACTGATGGCTCTGTATGCATGTTGTTTATTGTTATTATTATTGATTATGTGTTGTGTTAGTACTTTGGGGGAAATTCACTAAGCCATCGGCTTAAAGTTTTGGGTTATGTTTCAGGTACCTCAGATGATCTTGCGAAGGCAAAGGCATATCATGCAGCTCCTTGTGTTTTAATTTATGATTTTGGGAAAACTCTGATATTAAACATGTTTTGAAAACTAAATTGTATACAATGATGATTTGTCGATTGGCTTTCAAAGTTTAAAATTTTCATGAATATTATGGTTGTTACAGCTTCCCAGTTGAGTGTGACATTTTTTGGTGTTCTGACAAAGCACAGTAGCTGATGTTAGGTGGTGGTTAGTGGTGATAAGGTCGACTATCAGATCTGATGAAATCGCACCATATCTGATATGTTTTGCGTTTTAGAGAGGGAAAGTGAAGCTGAAACAAATTCTTGACTCCAGATCTGAGACCCGGTGACGATTGATGGTGGATATGGAGGTATTTTCATCAAATCTCATCAGATTTATGTTTCTGTTGCTGGTCGGGTCACGACACAGAAGAAGAATTCATGATGATAGTGATGACGGAAGGTGGTGGTTATCACCGCTCGTCG